GAATCTTCCGCTTCCTTTCTTGGTAACCCTATGAAACCATACACAAACACACACACACTGTCTTAGAAATTGTAGCAAATGGCTTTGGTTAAGTATCAAAATGTCACTTTGCTTATATTCAATCTTATTTGCTTGGAGAATCCTGTAGCATGTTTTCTTTCTAAGATTTTATACTTCCCATTCAAACATAGTATGCTCTCAGTTTTTAAAACTCTTTTCTTTCTTAGATAGGGGTTTACATTTTAGATAATCATTTTTACATTAAAAAAATTTAACCAACACATCAAACCTCCCAATAGCTCTGCTCCTCCCTTTTTCTTTTCCTCTTGTGTAATATTAATAATCTCATAAAAATTTAAATAAAATTATCAATAAAGCCCACACAGCACTCAGTACCCTATAGTGAGCAGCTGTTATGTGAGATCGTTTCTTCTAACCTTCTTTCTAAAACGTCCTCTTGACATTCTGGCCCCTACTGGAAGTGTAGTGCTGCATTAAACATTCTTTTTGGGATTCTATCATTTGTCCTAAAACAGTGTTCTGATCCCTGCTTTACTTACAGCGTACTTTGCAAATGGAGGTGTGACTGGGAGGTTTTACATGGAAGGGTTTCTCAGTTTGGGGGTGTACATGGATCCACAGCTTGACCTTGCAACGATGTGTAGCACTCCAGCACAACCTTATATTCTATCCAGCGTTTTGATACACTCTGCTATTAGTACTTTTATGGTTAAAGGATAGAGTTGGGCCAAAACGAATCTCACATTTCTCTATTTGTCTTGACCTGGTGACTTGTCTCCCACTTGTTTGAATAGTTGCTATAGAGTGTAGTGGTTTCTGATGTCCACAAAATTAAGGTTGACTCTACTTTGAGGCAGCATCTCTTCCTCAGTCATATTTGAGTACCTTCTGACATAAGGGGCCCATCTTCTGGCACTATCTCTGACAATGTTCTGTGGAACTCAGGAGGTTTTCAGTGTCTGACCATGTTTTACTGCTATGTACAATGGGTAATTCCTCTGATGTAGACACCCTATTTATTCCTTCTTTGTAGTTGGTTTTTAGTTTGGAAGTTCTGCTGAAATCTGCTCACTTTGGGTGACTCTGCTTGCCTTTCAAAATCAGTGACATAGCTTCCCCAAACATGGCAACACATAAGCAACACAGCTTGACAAACTGACAGACAAGTTGATGTGTGTCCTTGCTCTAGAATAAAAATCCTTTCTGGGCTTTGGATCAAACTTCAGCCTTACAATATCATTCTCAATTGCTTTTGCCGTTCTTGAAGCTTGAAGTTCTTGAAGTTGTATTCTGGTTAAAAGCTAACCATTGTGGGGTTATTTGGGAACACACGCATCTGTGGGAACACATAAGTAAGCGCATGAGAATTCTCAGGAGCAAAGGAGACTTCACTTCCCTCGAAAATGTCTTGATTGTTTACAACTGTTATGTAAAAAAATCCTACTGGTATGTAAAGAAATGATGACTTATCTAAAAATAAAAATTCTAATTCTTTCTTTGCCCCCTTTGAAAAACATTCTCTTGAAGGACTAAATAGTTTCTTGCTAGAATTCATTCATTCATTAAAAAATCATTTTATGGGGGGCTCATACAACTCTTATCACAATCCATATATACATCCATTGTGTCAAGCACATTTATTGATTTGTATATTTATTGCCCTCATCATTCTCAAAACATTTGCTTTCTACTTGAGCCCTTGGTATCAGCATCTCATTTTCCCCCCTCCCTCCCACCCCCAATTCATTCATTTTTTTACTCTAGGGAAGTCACCTTAACACAGACACCAGGATTCTGTGGTGTGGGCTCCATGGCCAAGTCTGGCTGCAGAGTGGGATGTGGTGCTCTTGGCACACTGTGATGTTTACAGTGGTGGATGAAGTCACAGGTGTGTGAGTGTAGATGGACACTGCAGTGTCAGCGGCTACTGTGGAAGAGAAGTTGTGAGTGTGGGTGGGGACCCAGAGGCTGTGGGAAGATGGGCAGGCAATTCTTGTTCTACTGGGTTCCTCAGAGGATCCTCTGTGGGCTCAGCTCCAGGTACCCACAGAGGTCATGAGCTCCAGCTTGATTCCCTCCTGGCCTCTTAAGTTTGCTCTCCATACTACACCCCTGCACTAAACCCTTGCTCTGCATGAGAGGAACCCAAGCAGAGTTGACAGATTGACAAGCAGCCTTCTTGGTCTCTCCTTGGAGCAATGCTTATTGTGAGTAAAGGTAAATTCCTGGTCTATGTCAGCAGGGGTGGTGGTGGGGACAAGAGCCCTCAACAAAGAGCATCCTCCTGGTAATCCAGGACATGTGACCACATTTCAATCTGGAGAGGTGAGGCAGAGTAGCAAAAGAAACTCCATTTTTGTTAGCTGCTGGTTGACTTGCCCACTTCCCCCTCCCATCTCAGAAAGCTGCCTGCTAGTTGACCTGCTCCCTTGTCCTCCCCTTTTAGGAAAGCCTCTGCTGGTGATTAATTTTAGAACATACTTCATGTTCTCAGGTTCATGACATTATAATTAGTTGTTACTATTCATCAATATATCGTTTCTTTTGATTATTTTTAATATTCCTTTTGATGTTGTAATATGAATGGTGTAATTAATTTTGTTATGCTAACCAGCATGTTATCATCAATTTTGTATGATTTCTATTTTTGAGAATGGTGTACCTTGCAATGCTCACTTGCTCTTTTTGAAGTTATAGTTAACCCATTAATTGTGCTTTCTGCTTCTGTTCACACTTGCTTGAATCCTAGACAAGTGATAAATGAGTTTTTTGCCTTTAAATATGTCCACTCGGGGCTGTTATGAGGGGTAACACCTTTAGTTTCTAGATAGTCCCGCTAGCTGAATAGTGGCTCTTCTAAATTTCAAGACATTATAGTGACTCTCATTTATTTGAACCCACAACAGAGGGAGTCAGCCTCCAGCTGTTTTAAATTTCCTTTAGAAAGGAGCGGAGGAACCCTGGTTGCTAACGGTTATAAGCTAGGCTGATAACCCAAGGTCAGCAGCTCAAAACCACCAGTCACTCGCAGGAGAAAGATAAGGCATTCTGCTCCCATAAAGCGTTGGTCTCAGAAACTCATGGTGGCAGTTGTGCCCAGTTTTGTAGGGTCACTCTGAGTCAGAATTGAGTCTATAGCAGTGAGTTTGAGAGTTCTATCCTTGCTTCCAAGATTTGTGTCTGTCTGAGAAACGATTTCACTCAGCCTGTGTGTGTGTGTGTGTGTGTGTGTGTGTGTGTGTG